CAAGGACTCTGTCATCTGCAGAGTGAAATTACACTCAGATTGACAGAGAAGCCTTGGCCATAGTGGCTGGCATAAAGAAATTCCATGATTTCTTATATACGGTCTACACAGACCATAAGGCTTTGCTGGGTTTGTTTACCACTAACAAACAGACACTACATATTATTTCTCCACATATGCTGAGATGGTCCATTTTCCTGTCAGCATATGACTACACTCTAATTCATAAACCTGGAAAAGAAATGGGCCATGCTGATGGCCTCAGCAGATTACCTCTTAAACAGATAGAGGCAGATCCTGCTCCTGCCATTATATTTTTTCCATTCAGGAGTTACCTGAATCTCCCCTAAATGCTAGGGACATGGCTGCAAAAACTGCCACTGATCACATGCTCACACACGTGCTGACCTGGGTGTTATCAGGATGGCCTGATAAGTGCCCAGATACTGAGTTCCAAAGCTTCTGGCACAAGAAGCATGAACTTTCCACTTTCAAGGAGTGCCTGTTATGGGGGAGTAGAGTAATTATCCCAGCTTCACTGAGGTCTAGGGTCTTGTCCTCTCTGCATGAGGGACATCCTGGTATAGTAAAGATGAAAACGCTTGCACGCAGCCATCTTTGGTGGCCTGGACTTGATAAAGCCATCAAGGTTCAGATGCACGGGTGCCAAGTGTGCCAACAGTTACGTCCTGAAATGCCTCAGGCCCCAGTACATAGGTGGGAGGAAACTCAAACCCCATGGTCACGGGTGCATATAGATTATGCTGGGCCCTTTCAGGGGCAATTCTTCCTTCTCATTGTTGACAGCCATTCCAAGTGGCTAGAGGTTGTTCCTCTTTCTTCCACTATTACTGCCAGGACCATCCAGGTGTTGAGAGGAATTTTTGCATCGCACAGGCTTCCAGATGTCCTGGTTTTAGATAATGGCCTTCAATTTACCTCTTTTGAGTTCCAGGCTTTTCTTCAGGCCAACTTGATCTGGCATGCGACTTCTGCTCCCTTCCACCCATCCTCCAACTGACAGGCAGAGAGAATGGTGCACACGACCAAAGATGCTCTCAAGAAATTGACTTACAGTAACTGGCATCACAGGTTAGCATATTTCCTTCTTGCACGCTGTACCACACCTTGCACAGCCACAGGAAAGAGCCCTGCAGAACTCCGCTGGGGTCGCTTCTTCATCACCAAACTGGACAGGTTGCACCCAGACCGGGTGGCTTCACAGGTGTCACAACCACGAGCACCTAGGAGACTTCAGGTGGGCGATCTGGTTTGGGCAAGGAACTATGGGCCTGGACAACTCTGGGTCACAGCTGTGGTCTGCAAGGTCTCTGGGCCATTGTCATACGAAGTTGCCTTGGATGATGGCTGTGTTCTTCACAGACACATAGACCAACTGCGTTGGAAACTGGACAGCCATGTTTCCACTACTGGCTCTGCTCTGGGTGGGGGGAGGAGGACCATAATATGCATTCTGGGTCACAGGTTCCCAGGCCTAACAGGGCCTCACAAGCTGCTGAGGTTGTTTGGGTCATCCCAAGACTCCACAAGTGCTCCAAGCAGGAATTCCCAGGATAGGGGGTCATCCCACACATCCGTTATTGCTCCAGACAGGGAGTCACACCAGGGGTATCCACATTATTCAAACATGTCAGATAGTGCTCCAGACAGAGACAGACTGGGGGTATCCACATAAATCACACATAGCCATAGAAAGGGAATTCTAACAGGGGCACTCTCATAATTCAGCAATTGCTCCGAAAAGGAAGTCAGTAGCAAGGGGGTTTGTCATGGAGGCGGCTCCTGACTCTGGCACCACGGGCACATGCTCGGGGGCTACAGAGTACTGGGGCACTTCCGCCACTCAGGCCTCTCCACCTGTTAGCCTTGGGTTCGAGGGATAGTGTTCCTAAGAGGAGTCCATTGTAGACTCGGGGACTTCTACCCCTCCATGGTACACTGACTTGAACTCAGAGGGTCCAGCCAGTCAGCAGCTGGGGGGGGGACCTGGGTATTTGGGGCATCAAAGTCCTGGCTTACCTAGCCTGGTAGAAGAGCAGGTAGGCCAGGCACCCTCACTGGCCCTTAGGAGGTCACAGTGGGCTAAGTGCCCACCTAAACACCAAGGAGATTATGTGAGGTTCCTGTCAACACATGAGGAACCTTGCTGAGGTCGCTGCCTGCGTGCAGACCCAAGCATTTCCACCCTCCTTGCATTTGAATAATGCATCTGTGTTCCACTCTCCCTGCATTGCACAATGCACCGGTGCGTAAGCTAGGTGTGTTTCATCTAGGGGGGAGGGGTGTTGTGTCCTGAGCCTGCAAGAGCTGAAAGCAGGCTCAGAATTGTTGCAAATGGTCCCGGGCAATCCAAAAGCTGCCTGGGACCAGACAGAGTGGCACCAGCCTTGTGCGCATGGACAAGGCGTGAAAATGGTCAATTCCTATTGGTTCACACTGTCCGGGTTTCAGGCACTATAAAAGGCTGGGTGCCTTTTGCTGTTTGCTTGGTTGTAGGAGAGAGAAATAAAGAGCTTGTTGTTTTCACCATGTGTCTTCATCAATTGCCAACAGACCGAAAACACAACAAAAACCACAAACACCAATAAATAAAGCCTATAATAAGATCAATAATAGAAAAAAAACCAGTCATTTAAAAAAAAGCAGAGGAACCAGCAGGTTTCAGAAGTAGGAATTTTCATATTGATTTAAGTCTTGTTCCAATGAGATTGTGTGTGTGTGTAATTTGCATACTATTCCATTCGCATTACATTAGAAAGCAGATTGTAAATAATATTCCTGTTGTTCACCTATTCCAATGTAATTTTTATTAAGTCAAGCTAATAGTAAACAAATATTTTCAAAGCATACATTTCCCCAAAATAGAGTGTTTTTATGTGTATGAATGTATCCAGTTTATAATGAGAAAAAGAGAAAAAGTTTGTTTTCTGCCACTTTCTGTGCTGCTTCGGAGTATCCTTTGCAAACTTTCGAATTAAGAGAAATTTGTGCCTGGTTTCTTTTACATCTTTTATCACAAAAAATAGAAATTATACAGGCAAAATGCATAAAAACTCAACACTTTAAGAGGGCTATGTGGCTTGAAATAATACAAAGGTGAAAGAAAATAATGTCAGGACACTTCCCGCCCCCAAATTTTGCTGTGATGCCTCAACATAAAAATGCTTAACTTTTAAGAAAAGAAAAAAAGAGAACCCATAAGAATTAGGATCTATTTAAAGGTGACAAAAGAGTGGAAGAAGTAAGAAACCAGCAGGAAGCTGGACAATAAAATCGATAGCATCCAATACTTAAGTGAAAACATGCTGAATATTCACAGTTTTTCAAGAATGAAGGCAAATATACATGTCCCAGGATAATTTTGCAGGATCCAACATGGGTCAGTCACTGGGATGAAAAGTTTAGTCTTCCAAGCTTTTGGACTCGTGCTGGAGCCCATACTTAGGGAACTTCTGTCTCACTAGAATGTAGAGAAAAGTTTCCTGAGGATGGGCTTCAGCCTAAGTTCAAAAGCTTGGAAGACTAAACCTCTGATCCTGGTGACTGACTCTAGAATAGAATAGAATAGAATAGAATAGAATAGAATAGAATAGAATGGAATGGAATGGAATGGAATGAATGGAATGGAATGGAATGGAATAGAATAGAATCTGGAAGGGACCATGGAGATCTTCTAGTCCAGCCCCCGTTCGAGCAGGAGAACCTATACCATCTCAGACAAGTGACTGTCTAGCCTCTTCTTAAAAAACCTCCAGTGATGGAGCACCCACAATTTGTGAAGGCAAGCTGTTCCACTGGTTAATTGTCCTCACCGTTAGGAACTTTCTCCTTAATTCCAGGTTGCTTCTCTCTTTGATCAGTTTCCAACCATCATTTCTTGTCCTAGCCTCTGGTGCTTTGGAGAATAATTTGACCCCTTCTTCTTTGTGGTAGCCTCTCAAATACTGCAACACTGCTATCATGTCATCCCTATTTCGTCTTTGCTTTAGACTAAGTCCTGCAGCTGTTCTTTGTATGTTTTAGTCTCCAGGCCTTTGATCATCTTAGCTGCTCTTCTCTGAACTTTTTCCAAAGTCTCAGCATCATTTTGTAGTATGATGACCAAAACTGGTTGCAATATTCCAAGTGTGGTCTCACTAGGGTTTTATAAAGCTGTACTAATACTTTGCGTGATCTTGAGTCTATGCCTTTTTGGATAGGGAATCCTCATTTATCTGGCTTTCTCACATATATTGATGTTGAAGCTACTGAGCAAGTAGTGTTGTGCAAGAACAGAAAATAACTTTTGTTTCTTCTAATGGACTCTTTTCTGTTCTTTCCCATTGTTTTCTCTTTGGGCTGTCTATTTTTTTTTCTCTACCTAATGCAAAAATCCCCAGCTCTAACTTGTAGTTCCGCAATCTCACTGTATGTACCTTGCATATGATTATATCTACAGCATGACTATCACAAAAATCCAGAGATTGTTAGATGGAAGCAAAGAGCTGGTAGGAGTTCACAGGTGGAGAAGATACAAAATAATTTGGCCGGATCACATCTAATGACATTTTTTAACCTCTCCTCTCCACTCCACCCCCCCAATAAGTTATTTGCATCCAATCCATGTTAGATCTCATGGGGATCTTGGTTAGTTGCATAAAACAGTCTATTCTGGATGACTTTTGCAATATAGGTATTCTAGCTTGGAGAGGATCATGTTGTACATCCTACTTGCCAGGTAGCTGTTAAAGACAGGAAGTGTGCCAGAAAATAAGAGTTGTCAGTCCAACATACTTCATTAAAACATGTTGTTAGTTGTGAAGTCGTGTCTGACCCATTGCAACCCCATGGACAATGTTCCTCCAGGCCTTCCTGTCCTCTACCATCTTCTGGAGTCCATTTAAGTTCACAACTACTGCTTCAGTGATTCCATCCAGCCATCTCATTCTCTGTCGTCTCCTTCTTCTATTGCCCTCAATCTTTCCCAGCATTAGGCTCTTCTCCAGTGAGTCCTTCCTTCTCATTTGGTGGCCAAAGTACTTGAGTTTCAACTTCAGGATCTATTAAAATATAAGGAGAATCAAAGCTAGACTTTTCAAAATTAAGCAGTCCCAATTTTCTACCAAGATGAAAATCAATCCATTGCACTTTCCCTCATTTTAAATAGCATTTAAATACCTTGGGTTCATTCTCTTCTTTTTTATGAAGGAATATGTAAATGCTGATTCTGATTTTTTTTTTTTTAAAAAAAAATGAATTTCTCAAGCATTTTCTACCTTTAGTTTAAACTATTACACAGTTAGTTCCCCTGACCTCCAGCAGGGAAATCTTATCTTCTCATGAAGTAGAACAAAAAAATACAGTCCTGATAATGGGCTACCTCACTTCATGTGGTGGGGTAGGTTGCAGTTTTTGAATGTTCTGTTCTCAATGAAAAAAGAACGTAAAATATCTCTGCAAATCAAAACTAAGGAAAGAACACTGAAACCTATTCTAACATGCTGTAATAAATTTACTGATGCAGGGAAAATAGTAAAAAAAAATTATATCCTTCCTTATTTCTATAGTGGGGATGGAATTACTGTCTGCTATTTCACCGTTCATCCTTCTAAGAGGATAGAATGAAAAATAATGCCTCCAATGTTATATGTCACCAAGAGGTAGCATTATTAATACCCTTAAAACGGACATGTTCTTTAGCATCTGCACTTTCACTTCAGTTGAGGGGAGGTTGCTGTAAGAAAAGGTTCGGTTGCTACTGTTCATGAAATGGAAGTCTGCAATAAGTACTCATCAATGCACTGCCAAGATTAGATTTTTGACTGCTGAAGGAATCCCTCCTGTTGAAATTCACTGCTGAAAGCAGTCAATGTCTGTGTTTTCATTAGTACTATGTATTATTGACTCAAACTATGTAAAGATGGTGAAATAAGAAGAGTTGATTTGTGTGATCAGTAATAAAGTACATGACTCGTGACAAAAACTGACAAGCTCCACATAAACCAATTGATGAATTGATGAAGGGCAATTGGTGAATCAGTCAAAAGGAAATTCCTGTCAAACTTGTTATTTCTTAGGAATGTGTGGATCACATTATTTACATTCTTTAATACTGGAAGAACATGTTCAAGATAGATTCTTCACATATTGATAGCAAAGACGAAACCTTCCAGAAATGCAATTTTCCAGCAAACTTATTCACAGCTTTATAGCTGTGGGGTAATCATTATGTTGCAGAAATGAAATGTCAGTCCATCAAATATCATGGCAAAATTCAGCTGCAGGAGGGGGGAATCAAAAACCGAGGGTTCAGCAGGAAATTCATGGCTACAGTTTTTTAGAATGAAAATGCTGCTATTCATGTGGATTTCCTTTAGCCTGGAACTACTATCAGCTCAGATGAGTTGTAACACTCAAACCCTTGAAGCAATTAATAGGTGGAATTTGGAAGGAGAACATTTCCCTGGAATATGACAATACATATTTTATGGAGAAGATAAAAAGGAATTTGCAAAGTTGAATCTCACCATTCTATTCCATTCTCAATCCAATCCACACTTGCAAAATGCAGCTCCAACTTTTCCCAAAAATTAAAATAATACTTCTGTGGGCATCTGACTCAAATAAAAAGGTGGAAAGACTGTCAGGATCTGGTTGAAGAGAAAGTGTGGACTTCTTTTATTATTAATAATAATAAATTATCAATAACCAGCAGATAAAAAAACAAAAAAGAATAAAATACAATGAATGCATATGTCAGTACAATACTAAAAGAGAATAAAAGTGTTAAAAAGAGACATAAAACTAATGAACACAGAGAATCAGTAACAAGATATCAAGATATCATCAAGACAAAATCAGTATTTTCCTCCGAACTTAGATAGTAGCTGATAAAAACTTAACCCGTTTATTTGCCACTGTGATCCTGTGATCCTGCAGCTATATAGCCTATAGTAGGGTGACTATACCATCTACATAAAGCAGCACAACAAATGTCTGTCTTCAAGGGGCATCCGTGTGTGAAATTCTATTTTAGTTAGTGTTGCTATCATAGAATTCAAATAAATACTCAATAGAAGGTCAAAATACAACCAAGTTTCACTTGTCTGCTTATAGGGATATCTGCAGTAAGTTCCTGCATTCTCCTATTTAATTTGAGTGACAGGGTTTTTTTTTATCCTGATTAGACAGAGAAGCTGTCAATCTATCAAGATATATAGTAGCTTCCACAAGAGCCTGTCATATAGGAAGGGATCAAAGACCAAGTTTTGGTTGAAGAGGGATATTGCTAGCATGGGTATTTGTCAACTAGGAACTCCAGAATGGCACATTGATACATACTGGATCTACCCAACCTGAAGCCTACTTGCTCATCCAATAGACTCCTCTCCTTTTTCATCCATTTGAGGAATCTATTTTACAGGAAGCAAACATAGATTTCAGTAGGAATGCTTAGAAGGATGACTGGATAATAGTCCAAAGGATTAGAATAGTTTCCTTTCTGGAAATAAGAACAATAATAGAATGGCTGCAGTCACTTGCCATAGAGAATATATTATTAATATGGGGGGAAAGGAGGCTGAGATAGGTGTTTGTCTTTTCAAACTGGGCTTGAGTCACTGCTAGGTGCTTTCCCATATTTTAGCAATTTCTGAATGGGAGACCAAAGGGACAATGGCATGGTGACTAACTGGCCCTTGGATACTACAACCATCATAAATACATGTCAGTTGCCAAGTGCCCAAATTTTGATCACAAGATTGTGGAGAATGCTGTGTTAGTTGTAAGTTCAAGTACCAGTCATAAGTCACTTTTTTTTCAGCACCACTGTAACTTCCAATGGTAATTAAATGAATGGTTGTAAGTCAAGGACCACCTGTATTTTTCATTCAATCTCATACATAGTCAACGGGAGATAAGCCAGTCTTTTGCAGCATCACTTCCAGTTGGTCATTGTACATTGTACATCATCGTAAAATTGTAAACATTAATATTCTTATTTTCCACATTTTTCCTTATCTCTTTCTCCTTTTGCATTATGCTGATTACTCTGTAATTCTGTATTTTGTACTCTGTTCTGCAGTTCATCCAGAGGCAGAGTATTTTAAATGTTCAGTAATAAATTACAAAACAAACACAATTCATCACACTTTTCTCCTAGGTCTTGTACTTCATTACTCCAAACCAGATAAACACAATCCATTTTTTTCAGTATTTGAAATATTCTTAAGAACCAAATCTATGAAATGATCCATTTTCTGTCATGTTATAGTAATACCCTCAAATGAATTAGATCCTAACAGAACAGGTTCTTATTGTAATTCCCACTCCCAAACCTTCTGTTCATCTTCCTGCTTCTGTTTATGTTTTTCCCTATATCCCAGTAGCTACCCATGTCTCTTGGACTTTGTATTTCTCTGTGTGTTTTGGGCTGGCAGAGTGGCTTTGTCATTGAGGTTTAAAATTAGAAAGTGATGACCTGAGAGACAGTGAAAGAGAGAGAGAGATCTCAAATACAGATTAGTAAGGGAAAAAAATGCCCTAAAATCCAAGATTTAACTCCTTGCAGAGATTTTCATAGTAGACAGCCCTCTGGTGGGAGGTATCAGTGCCTTGTTTTGCACCCTGGTCCTGTAAGCAGGAAATACACAAATTGATGAACAGTGAGAATGAGAGGTTGAAAACATGTAGGTTTAAAGCACATTTGCTATGAACATTTTGTGTGTTCTTTACTTTAAAGTCCAATCTAAGGTTTCTTTATTATCTCCGGGAAAAGTTTTTTTTTTACTATGCTTTTAACTATATTTTCTAGCTAGATAAATGGTTTATATTCAATCAAGGTGGTCCTTTGAGCCATAGACTTCTTTTCTTGGTAGCAGAAACCTGATTTTAAAAGTAATGTGTGATTGTGTCAGGCGGACCAATACTACAAATTACATTTAAAAAGAAAATAAGAACATTTTTTAAAGCCTTAGGACTTTTCCCCTTAAACCCATTCAATCTTTTTTGGCCTTGAAACATGATCAGGGTCTATTGAATTCCATTTTTAAGCTAAGCATTTCCTCTGCATTTTGTCAAGTGAAATCCTGAATGTCACTTAGCTCATATGGTAAGAAAAATTGGTTTTACTTTATCTTCCATTGGATACCTGCATAATATGCTGCCCATCAAAAACTGATATTTTGAGGAGAAGAGATGAAAGAATAATAATAATGAAAAAGTAAAGGTTTCTCCTGTCCAATCATGTCTAAGTCTAGGAGATGGTTGTCGTCTCTGTTTCCTAGCTGACGGAGTCAATGCTGTCTGAAGATGTTTCCAATAAGCCGTCTAAAATTAATTAACCTTTTTTCTTCTGGGCTCTCATGATGCTCTAATAATATAGAAATTAATACATGGGAAGAAGTATCAGATTCTACGGCAGGGGTGTCAAACTGCTGACCCACGGGCTGGTTTCATCATACCGGAGCCACACCCACCCCATTGCTGGCAATGTCGAAATAGCTCCGATACGTTGTGCGATGTCACATGACGTCGCGAGTTTGACATGTCTGTTCTACAGGAAGAACAATAAGCATCTTAGAGACTAGACTAGAGCTGTGCTACCACTCGTACCTAATTACAGCAAAAACATATCCCAGCAACAGCCTTTTTCTGCCGTGACCTTACTATATTGCCTTTTTCTCATCTGCAGATCATGAGAGAGATGATGACTGGAAACAGAAGCAATAGATGAGGTCAGGAATAAGCAATGGGACAAGAGTTTTGATTCTGGTCTAGTTTTCTGCTACTTATGTGCTGCCTACTTTCTGGAATAAGGTTCCACCAGGCATCTGTATGGCTCCCACACTACTGGAATCCCATGAAGACTTAAAAGTCTGACTGTTCTCCTAGGCTTTGGAGTGCCCTGTCAGATATGCTGCTATATGTGGGATTGATTGGTTTGATTTTATTGTGGACTGTCCAAAGCTAGTTTGGAGTTGATTGGTGTCTAAATAAATAATTAAATTAACTCAAGGATGAGTAGAGAGGGAGGTTTTATTTGTTTATTATTTGTTTACATCCCACCTTTTATTATTTTTACAAATAACCCATGGTGGTGAAGATATCCAATATACTTTTCTTCTCCTGTTTTCCCCAGAACAATCCTATGAGGTGAGTTGGGCTGAGAGAGAGTGACTGGCCCAAGGTCACTCAGCTGGCTTTCATGACTAAGATAGGACTTGTTCCTTTAAGTAAGAAAAATCCCAAGTATTAATTGAATTGAAGCTACTGAAAATGTCATATCTTCAAGAATAATCTGCTGAGTTGCTCCTAAATCAGAGGTGGGGAACGATGGCCCCTTTATGATGTGTGGACTTCAACTCCCAGAATTCCTGAGCCAATTGAAGTCCACAAGTTGTAAAAGGACCATTGTTCCCCATCTCTGTTCTAAATAGTGCCTGAGATAATTAAATTTTAGAAATCATCCAGTTTTGCTATTTCCAGTTCTGGAAAGGAACATGGAATATGAGTTCCTCAATAGGGACTCCCAAACATCACAGGATATGTGTAAGGTGTTCAAGCCTTTGGGGAGAGGGGGAGCCAACCACATATAACTCAGCTCAATACCTCAGTAGTCTCAGTGAGTACCTATGGGATGAGAGAAGTGAAAGGAATCATATTTATGGCTGAAGCTGGTCCAGGGAAAAGTGCTGTCTTGGCCGCTGAATGCTTCTGGCATTTAACCACAAGGGAGTCATTACTCCTTTTCATGTTTGTAAACCTCATGCTAATCTCACCCAAGAATTAACCACTAGAAAATCACAAGGAAAACAGGGTAGAAAAGGAATGAGGAGTCCTGCTAGGGAGTAAATTAGATGTTTCCTGTTGTTGGTCCTGACAAATACATTCACAGCTGAAGCCACTCATTTCCTACATTGGTGGAGTTTTTAGCTAAAACTTTCTCAAGTGAAAATCTCTTGTCCTGACTCCAATGAAACAAACTACTCCTTTCAATTAACAAAGGCTGTCTGTCAGTGGGAAAAGGCTTCTCCCTCCCAAGTGTCATCTTCTTCCCTTTAGTCATGGCACAATAATGAAGTAGGCTGTCAGTAGCCAACCTATCTTTGATATCCAACTGTGACATGCATCTATAGGGCTACTTCTTCTCTAAGAATGTTAATGCAGAAATTAGTCTCTTGTTATTGAGGAAATGTTTAACTATGTCAGTCCTTTTCAAGCAAGGGTGTTGGGACAGGGAAACAGGTGTCCCTTTGCAATGGGATGGGTAGAATCACTTGGGTTCCTTATCTGTGGACTATTCCAGAATTGCCCCTGGATTACATCTCTTCAGAATTTTGATGGCATTCTGCAATACTAGATATTTCACTTTGTTCAAAATCTCATTGCACATCATAATGACATCATAAAGAAAAATGCTTCTATGCCCTATTTTATCACACAGTGGCTGTTACTGCACAAGATACATGCCATTTTAAAACCTAGCAGGTGCATTCACATAATATCTTATGTTTGGTTAGTTTTAACTATAGTTAAGATATGGAAGAGGTTGTGAAGGGAGGGAGGGAGAGAGAGATTTGACTTCATTTACGAACCCAACTTTTGGTTATATTTACCATATAAAGTCAAAAAATGAGTTAACTTACAACCT